GGCTAGGCGGTGACGGAAAATAGGAGTTTTGGAGAAAGCGCAAGACGAGTTAGGTCGGAAGCCCACCGGCGACTTCCATCTGCCCAGGTCCAGCTGTAAGGAAAAGAAAAGAAAATAGGAAGGGAGGAAGATTTGTTCATTGTTATTGATTTTTGCTATTAGTTATTTTCGAATTTATTTTGATATTTATTATATTATTTATTTTTGTATTTATTTGTTGTCTTATTTATTTATTTATTTATCATATTTATTATAGTATTAGTAGTCATTAAGTATTTATTTAAAAATTCTTGGGAAGTATGTCCGAGGGTAAGGACGTCAGCGATAGGCACGGCCACCAGCTCAGGTCGATGGGTCCCCCTGGCGACGACAAGGACGATGTCTGGTCCACGGATGTAGAGGGTGCTGCTGGGTTGCCGCGGATATCGCTGTCTGGGGGTTTACCCAGAACGCCGGTAGCCGGTAGTGCGGTGGATCGGATTAGGGATCAACCGGCGGATCTGGAGCACCATCGGTCGCCCAGGGTCCTGGATTTCAAGGCAATTGTCGAGGCGCAGGATCGACTTCTGGTTCCGGAGCAGACGGGACTACAAAAGCTGAACACGGAACACGGATACAGCGGCGGAGTCTGCGATGAACGCAGCTCTGGCACAAGCGGCCCATACATATCGGGCATCGCAAGAGTTGGGAGTGAGCCAGGCCTTGCGGGAGAAAATCAAGAACGGATTCATGGACATGATGAAATTGAAGAACGATGTTCTTAGGACAGCCGAAAGCAAACCGCAGCCGCTCCAGGAGGGCGCGATTCGCCAAGTGTCAATGGTGCCCACTCCGTCGTGCCCGGAAGGCGGCGCAAATGGTCCAGCGGAAGTTCAGCAGCGGCAGGAGACAGGAGGAGGCTACCGAAGGCCGCCGGAATTGAAACCCAGGCAGCGACCTCGACCGCAGGTGAACGACTCTCCAGGGATCGACAGCAGCCTGAGCCAGGAACCGGAGTATCATCCGGCAGGAAGGAGTGATCGCCACGCACGGCCGTGGCGCATCGAGGACCGAAGGGCGGCGGATTTTCGTGACGAGCCGCGGTTGTACGCCAACGCGGGAGCCGGCAACGAAAACCGCTAGATCCGAGTGGACCGCTGGAACCTCTCCTTCGGCGGCGAGGACGATGGCCAACAATGCGGCAAGCTGGGCGTGATTTCTCCGAAATGTCCCGATTGCGCGGAAAACGGTCGGCTGGGTAGTCCAAAAGCGGGAGGGACTCGCCCAGGTTGGAATCCCGCGAAGTAGTTCCGAAGAAAGAAGAAGAAAAGAATGTACATAGTCCATATGATAGTCAAAAGTATTTGTTAAGATACCTGGCGGAGGATGAGAGGCTTCGCCGTTATATGGAGACACGGAACCGGATCTTTGCGGAGCATCAGCTGAGCGGCATGCGTCTGGTCTCACGGAGAGTCCAGAAGGCAAGGGAGTGCTTCAGGATGAGGAGATCCAGACGACGAGAGGTGGTGGCGGCCGTTAAACACATAGATTCCGCCGATCCTAGACCCTTCGCCAAAGGCTGTCGAGAGCTCGTGGAAACGCTAGAAGATACCGTCCAACCGTATTTTTCGGTAGTCCGGACAGCTTCTGGTGAGGATCGATCCATCATCGGACGCTTGGAGTTGCCTGGGAGGTACAAAGCCAGTCACGTTCTACCTGTGTCCATACCTGGACCAAACTGCGTACTTCGGGGTCGACTTCTGGCGACCTTCGGAGGCAACGAGAGGCGTCAAGGCAGCGCAGGTAATCCATGCCAGCCAGATGGAGCACTATGCCGACCAGGAAGATGAAGACGAGGTAAGGGAGGAACCCGAATCCTGGACCCTTTCTGCGGAGGAAAAGCTGGCGTTAGGCAAGGTCAAGGAGGAGTTCCTTACCTTTTAAAGGGACGGCCTCGGAGTCACCAGCATGAAGAGGCATTCTATTGAGTTGACGGAAGGAGCTCGTGTCTTTAAGGATCGTCCGTATTCGATGTCTCCGGTGAAGCAGAAGGTGGTCGAAGACGAAATCGACAAGATGTTGGAGCTGGGTGTTATCGAGGAGAGCAAAAGCCCGTGGAGCATTCGCACAACAGAGGTGTCGAAGCCAGGGAAAGACCGGTTCTGCGTGGATGCCCGAAGTTGAACGCCTCGACTATTAAGGATGCGTACCCTCTGCCCAGTATAGAAGGAATCCTCTCCAGGATAGATCAGACGCACTACATCTCCAGCGTAGACCTGAAGCTTGCGTTTTGGCAGATTGAACTGGATGAGAGAAGCAAGGAGTATACTGCGTTCACGGCCATTCGGGCTGTGCAACGCGGCACAACGCTTGGTGCGGCTCATGGATCGGGTGATACCAGCGGAGCTCAGATCTAACGCTCCAGATTTTCAGACGCACTTGAAATACTTGCGTCGAGTAGCCCACAGTCTGAAATCAGCCGGATTGACCATAGGGTTAAAGAAGTCGAAGTTTTGTTTCAAATCTTTGACTTAGCTAGGGTTTATAGTCGGAGGTGGACTGCTGCGGATGGATCCTGGACGTGTTTCGGCAATCCAGAAGATGCCTTACCCGTGCCTTCCTCGGCACAGCGGGATGGTATCGACGGTTCGTCAAGAACTTCGCTACGCTAGCCGCAGCACTCTCCGAGTCCTTGAAGAAGGCTGGAAACACAAAGTTTTCCTTAAGTCCCAGCGCCAACCAGGCAGTGGATGACCTGAAGTTGGCCTTGACGAGCGCGCCGGTCCTGGTTCATGCGGATTTCAAGAAGCATTTCTACATCCAGTGCGACGCATCCCACGTTGGCGTCGGCGCGGTATTGTTTCAGCGGGACCAGAACGGAGACGAGCAGCCCATCGCGTTCTTCTCGGCCAAGATGAACAAACACCAGGTGAATTACTCGGTTACGGAAAAGGAGTGTCTGGCGGCCATCCTAGCCATTTGGAAGTTCAGACCGTATGTGGAAGGGATGCCCTTCACATGCATTACTGATCACGCCAGCCTTAAGTGGTTGATGACAATGAAGGATCTGTCCAGACGACTCGCAAGGTGGTCTCTCCAGCTGCAGGGCTACGATTTCAACATTGAACATCGCAAAGGCAGCGAGAACGTAGTCGCTGACACTCTATCCCACATCATCGAGGAAGTCCGGATAGATCCAACGGAATCTGCGTCCCCAGTTCTATTGGCCAGGGATGACTATCCAGGTACGGGAATACGTCCGGGGTCGCGAGGTGTGCAAGGAATCCAAAGCGCCAAACTTCCGGATGCAGGTCGGAATCGGAAGAAGGGTAGAGACGGGGAGGCCATTCCAGAAACTGTACATCGATTTCCTGGGCAAGTATCCGACACGCCTGGATATTCATCGTGGTGGACCACTTCTCCAAGTACACCTTCTTAAAGGCGATGAAGGAGGCGACGGCGTCGAACGTTGTAAATTTCCTGGTAAACGAGGTATTTTACAAGTTCGGGGTGCCTAAGACGATACATTCTGACAACGGCAAACAGTTCGTATCCAAGGCGTTTGAGGAGATGATCGATGGCTTCGGTATACAGCACATGAGGACTCCCGTATACTCACCACAGAGCAATGCCGCGGAAAGGGTAAACCGGAACGTCTTGGCCGCAATTCGCAGCTTCTTGGACGAAGATCATCCAAAACACTTTCCTGTCAGCCACAGGAGATGCGCCGTTCTTCACCGTATTCGGCCATCACATGTTCCTCAACGGTTCCAGCTACAAACTAGCCAGACGACTCAGGTCTCTGGTCGACCATGAAATGGCCGGAATGCAGACCAAGGACAAGCTTCGGGTTATCCACGCCAAGGTGCAGAAGCAACTGGAGGGTGCATACCAGACAAGCCGGCAACGCTACGATAAGCGAGCCCGTACGCTGCTCGCCAAGCCAGGCCAAGAAGTCTTCCGCCGCAACTTTGTGCTGAGTGATTTCAACAAATCTTTTAACGCCAAGTCTGCTCGCAAGTTCATTAAAGCCAGGGTGGTTAAATCCGTCGGTAGCAATGCATACTTGGACCTCCAAGGCCGCAGTCTGGTTGTGACCTGAAAGGAGAAATTAAAGTATACGAGCATCGCGATCACATCTGCAATACTTCCCGTCATGCGTGGGCCCCGCGTTAGGCGCCGATCGAACTGCAGGATGGTATCAGTGCCGTGTTGAGTCCCATCGTATCTCCAAAGCTACCATTTATTTTCATCGTTCTGCTGAAACTCCAGGCAGCGACTCTCGAAATCTTTGGTTAATGTTGCAGTTGGAGTCGAATGTGAGCGACGTTATCGATAGGTTACGTCGATAGGGCGATAGCTGCAGCAGCGGGATGAGTCTGGCGGGCGATCTGGCCATTTGAAGATTAATCCCTTCGCTTTGGGATTACTTTAAATGGACCCATGTATCCAATGACCCAATTTTGAGAGAGGCCATGTAATATGGCGGGGGGTATGAACGATGATCAGCAGATATCGAGATAGTCGCGGCCATACTGTCCAACAACCAAGGCAGATGCAGCTAGAAGTGATCCTATAAATTTTCTTTGTGCTTAAAATTAAATAGTGAGTTATGTTAAAGTTATACAGTAGTTCGGTATTTAATATTTATCATTTATAAAGGCAGCCGGGGTCCCAACACAAAGGGCCCCGGAATATTTATTTGGAGTTCTACTGACATTTGCGCGACTTCGCCATACCTACCAGCCCGACTTGGCTGCCCAGCAACCGGTGGCCGTTCGACCCGTACCGACGACCACCCAGAAAAGCAGTCTTCGCAGTCGACGCCGACGACATCAAACATTTCCCGGTGAGTCCGTTCCGGTGTACCGCGTCCACCTCATCTCGGGGACTTCCAGCCGTCGCATCGCGGCGTTGAGAGGTACCGCCATTTTGTCGGGCGGCCGAACCTCAGACAGAAAATTTGAATACACGTGTACCTTGATTATATATATTGATATTTACTTCCCTGTTTCTGAATTTATCCGGAGTTAGACTCGAGAGCCTTATTTGTCCTCGTTGTTTGCCTAAAATTAAAAAGGTCGCGAGCATTAGTTACAGTGCAGTTACGTACCTTTTTGGCCTGTCCCTTCTTTTCCCCTTGAGCTCCTCAGAATTAGGTGACCATACACACGCGCATCGCGCATGTTCCTTTGAGGGCCGCGTTTCCATGCGAGCTCTACCAATACATGACTGGTAGAGCATAGTTTCCGCGGCGCCTGTACGCTTTTCCAGCCAAAACAAATCCTCTGCTTTGACCGCGTAAATATCCGAGACGGCGGCCAGGTTTAGGTCTTAAAGGCTGAGGAAGGATAGATCTGTTAAGAGGAGCATGTATATAAACAATTGTACTTACGATATTTATTAAACCTTTGTAATACCCACAATGTGTGAGCAAGCTTTCCCAGTGGGGGAGATGGAACCGTCGTAGTCGCGAGGAGGGGGCTCCTGCCGACAGAGAATGGGTGGTGCCCTGCAGCGCCTCGAGGGAACCCATGGTTGGGTGGGAGCGCTTGGCTAGGTCACCGATAGCCACCAAATGTAATCCATTTTCCCGTCAATATTTGTAGATTTTTGCTTTGATTACGTTTTTTTTGTCATTAGTGATAACCGATTAGTAATGTGAGACCGTGAAGTTATCGATATTTATGTTGCGAGCTGTGGCATTAGGGGTACTCTGCCTTGAGAAAAGACTGAGCTAGCGGCACTGCCACCAAAAAAAAGCAGTTCGTAACATATTGGCGCCCAATTTAAACAAAATAAATTGTCGAGGCGACGACGTCTCGCCCATTTATGACCCTGACGCCGCCGCCATCACGACCTATGGCTTGCAACATAGATTGCAATTGCTAGGGAGTGGTGACGGGGAAGTCAGCTGTGTAGGGAAGTTGGAAGTAGAACGGGAGGCTGGTCGGCGACATTGCCGACGATTTGCTCCTGGCCACAGGTTTACCAGTGAACCGGTGATGGCATCTTGGAGCAAACCAAGATTTGCATCACGGGATGCACTGAAGAAAATCTGTGATAATTTCTGTGATAGAGTAGTAAGCTTGTATTTTGTGATTTATTTATTTGAAATGTTTTTTTGTTAGGATGTTGGGTCCTGGATTTCTAATTTTATGTCGGTTGTAAACTTAATTGCGTAATCGTGACCCGTTGCACGGTTGGCTCGATGTAAAATAGGAAAAGAGGGCGGGAAAGAAAAGCCAACAGGAGCCAAACCGAGCCGATGTCCTTAACTGGCGGCTATCACCACAGGTGATAGCTAGTCCAGTTGACGAACGGCTAGGCGGTGACGGAAAATAGGAGTTTTGGAGAAAGCGCAAGACGAGTTAGGTCGGAAGCCCACCGGCGACGGTCACTTCCATCTGCCCAGGTCCAGCTGTAAGGAAAAGAAAAGAAAATAGGAAGGGAGGAAGATTTGTTCATTGTTATTGATTTTTGCTATTAGTTATTTTCGTATTTATTTTGATATTTATTATATTATTTATTTTTGTATTTATTTGTTGTCTTATTTATTTATTTATTTATCATATTTATTATAGTATTAGTAGTCATTAAGTATTTATTTAAAAATTCTTGGGAAGTATGTCCGAGGGTAAGGACGTCAGCGATAGGCACGGCCACCAGCTCAGGTCGATGGGTCCCCCTGGCGACGACAAGGACGATGTCTGGTCCACGGATGTAGAGGGTGCTGCTGGGTTGCCGCGGATATCGCTGTCTGGGGGTTTACCCAGAACGCCGGTAGTGCGGTGGATCGGATTAGGGATCAACCGGCGGATCTGGAGCACCATCGGTCGCCCAGGGTCCTGGATTTCAAGGCAATTGTCGAGGCGCAGGATCGACTTCTGGTTCCGGAGCAGACGGGACTACAAAAGCTGAACACGGAACACGGATACAGCGGCGGAGTCTGCGATGAACGCAGCTCTGGCACAAGCGGCCCATACATATCGGGCATCGCAAGAGTTGGGAGTGAGCCAGGCCTTGCGGGAGAAAATCAAGAACGGATTCATGGACATGATGAAATTGAAGAACGATGTTCTTAGGACAGCCGAAAGCAAACCGCAGCCGCTCCAGGAGGGCGCGATTCGCCAAGTGTCAATGGTGCCCACTCCGTCGTGCCCGGAAGGCGGCGCAAATGGTCCAGCGGAAGTTCAGCAGCGGCAGGAGACAGGAGGAGGCTACCGAAGGCCGCCGGAATTGAAACCCAGGCAGCGACCTCGACCGCAGGTGAACGACTCTCCAGGGATCGACAGCAGCCTGAGCCAGGAACCGGAGTATCATCCGGCAGGAAGGAGTGATCGCCACGCACGGCCGTGGCGCATCGAGGACCGAGGGGCGGCGGATTTTCGTGACGAGCCGCGGTTGTACGCCAACGCGGGAGCCGGCAACGGAAACCGCTAGATCCGAGTGGACCGCTGGAACCTCTCCTTCGGCGGCGAGGACGATGGCCAACGATGCGGCAAGCTGGGCGTGGTTTCTCCGAAATGTCCCGATTGCGCGGAAAACGGTCGGCTGGGTAGTCCAAAAGCGGGAGGGACTCGCCCAGGTTGGAATCCCGCGAAGTAGTTCCGAAGAAAGAAGAAGAAAAGAATGTACATAGTCCATCTGATAGTCAAAAGTATTTGTTAAGATACCTGGCGGAGGATGAGAGGCTTCGCCGTTATATGGAGGCACGGAACCGGATCTTTGCGGAGCATCAGCTGAGCGGCATGCGTCTGGTCTCACGGAGAGTCCAGAAGGCAAGGGAGTGCTTCAGGATGAGGAGATCCAGACGACGAGAGGTGGTGGCGGCCGTTAAACACATAGATTCCGCCGATCCTAGACCCTTCGCCAAAGGCTGTCGAGAGCTCGTGGAAACGCTAGAAGATACCGTCCAACCGTATTTTTCGGTAGTCCGGACAGCTTCTGGTGAGGATCGATCCATCATCGGACGCTTGGAGCTGCCTGGGAGGTACAAAGCCAGTCACGTTCTACCTGTGTCCATACCTGGACCAAACTGCGTACTTCGGGGTCGACTTCTGGCGACCTTCGGACTAGCTCCAGCCGACGTGGGGAAGCCGGCAACGAGAGGCGTCAAGGCAGCGCAGGTAATCCATGCCAGCCAGATGGAGCACTATGCCGACCAGGAAGATGAAGACGAGGTAAGGGAGGAACCCGAATCCTGGACCCTTTCTGCGGAGGAAAAGCTGGCGTTAGGCAAGGTCAAGGAGGAGTTCCTTACCTTTTAAAGGGACGGCCTCGGAGTCACCAGCATGAAGAGGCATTCTATTGAGCTGACGGAAGGAGCTCGTGTCTTTAAGGATCGTCCGTATTCGATGTCTCCGGTGAAGCAGAAGGTGGTCGAAGACGAAATCGACAAGATGTTGGAGCTGGGTGTTATCGAGGAGAGCAAAAGCCCGTGGAGCAATCGCACAACAGAGGTGTCGAAGCCAGGGAAAGACCGGTTCTGCGTGGATGCCCGAAGTTGAACGCCTCGACTATTAAGGATGCGTACCCTCTGCCCAGTATAGAAGGAATCCTCTCCAGGATAGATCAGACGCACTACATCTCCAGCGTAGACCTGAAGCTTGCGTTTTGGCAGATTGAACTGGATGAGAGAAGCAAGGAGTATACTGCGTTCACGGCCATTCGGGCTGTGCAACGCGGCACAACGCTTGGTGCGGCTCATGGATCGGGTGATACCAGCGGAGCTCAGATCTAACGCTCCAGATTTTCAGACGCACTTGAAATACTTGCGTCGAGTAGCCCACAGTCTGAAATCAGCCGGATTGACCATAGGGTAAAAGAAGTCGAAGTTTTGTTTCAAATCTTTGACTTAGCTAGGGTTTATAGTCGGAGGTGGACTGCTGCGGATGGATCCTGGACGTGTTTCGGCAATCCAGAAGATGCCTTACCCGTGCCTTCCTCGGCACAGCGGGATGGTATCGACGGTTCGTCAAGAACTTCGCTACGCTAGCCGCAGCACTCTCCGAGTCCTTGAAGAAGGCTGGAAACACAAAGTTTTCCTTAAGTCCCAGCGCCACCCAGGCAGTGGATGACCTGAAGTTGGCCTTGACGAGCGCGCCGGTCCTGGTTCATGCGGATTTCAAGAAGCATTTCTACATCCAGTGCGACGCATCCCACGTTGGCGTCGGCGCGGTATTGTTTCAGCGGAACCAGAACGGAGACGAGCAGCCCATCGCGTTCTTCTCGGCCAAGATGAACAAACACCAGGTGAATTACTCGGTTACGGAAAAGGAGTGTCTGGCGGCCATCCTAGCCATTTGGAAGTTTAGACCGTATGTGGAAGGGATGCCCTTCACATGCATTACTGATCACGCCAGCCTTAAGTGGTTGATGACAATGAAGGATCTGTCCAGACGACTCGCAAGGTGGTCTCTCCAGCTGCAGGGCTACGATTTCAACATTGAACATCGCAAAGGCAGCGAGAACGTAGTCGCTGACACTCTATCCCGCATCATCGAGGAAGTCCGGATAGATCCAACGGAATCTGCGTCCCCAGTTCTATTGGCCAGGGATGACTATCCAGGTACGGGAATACGTCCGGGGTCGCGAGGTGTGCAAGGAATCCAAAGCGCCAAACTTCCGGATGCAGGTCGGAATCGGAAGAAGGGTAGAGACGGGGAGGCCATTCCAGAAACTGTACATCGATTTCCTGGGCAAGTATCCGACACGCCTGGATATTCATCGTGGTGGACCACTTCTCCAAGTACACCTTCTTAAAGGCGATGAAGGAGGCGACGGCGTCGAACGTTGTAAATTTCCTGGTAAACGAGGTATTTTACAAGTTCGGGGTGCCTGAGACGATACATTCTGACAACGGCAAACAGTTCGTATCCAAGGCGTTTGAGGAGATGATCGATGGCTTCGGTATACAGCACATGAGGACTCCCGTATACTCACCACAGAGCAATGCCGCGGAAAGGGTAAACCGGAACGTTTTGGCCGCAATTCGCAGCTTCTTGGACGAAGATCATCCAAAACACTTTCCACTCAGCCACAGGAGATGCGCCGTTCTTCACCGTATTCGGCCATCACATGTTCCTCAACGGTTCCAGCTACAAACTAGCCAGACGACTCAGGTCTCTGGTCGACCATGAAATGGCCGGAATGCAGACCAAGGACAAGCTTCGGGTTATCCACGCCAAGGTGCAGAAGCAACTGGAGGGTGCATACCAGACAAGCCGGCAACGCTACGATAAGCGAGCCCGTACGCTGCTCGCCAAGCCAGGCCAAGAAGTCTTCCGCCGCAACTTTGTGCTGAGTGATTTCAACAAATCTTTTAACGCCAAGTCTGCTCGCAAGTTCATTAAAGCCAGGGTGGTTAAATCCGTCGGTAGCAATGCATACTTGGACCTCCAAGGCCGCAGTCTGGTTGTGACCTGAAAGGAG